GAATCCTGAGGCTGCTCTCAAGCACAGCCAGAGCTGGCGGGCCGCCCGAGCCGCTGCCGAAGCCACGCAGTCCGGACCTGCACCAGCACAGCCACCCCCAGCTGCCCACACCTCGTCACCCACACCACTGTCCCCACACTTCCACTGAGAAAGTGTGAGGGTCTCACACACCGATAGCACACGGATGGGGAATTATAGATGTCCCCACAGCCACAGTGACAAGGAAAAAAGTTGAGCAGTATTTTATCCAAATATACGTATAGAAATGGCTTGGAAACCTGTGCACACCGGGCCCAGGAGGTGCCCTGCCCCTAGGCTGTCCTCTGGGCGTGTCCCTGCCTCAACAACGCGACTCGGACCTTGGTCGAGCGAGCGAGGGAGTGAGCGAGCGAGGCAGCTCAGCTCCGCGTGGGCGGCGCTTGCGCACTGGCTTCACAAAGCGTCTGCGCCCCGAGGAAGGTCAGTAGATGCACTGCGAGTATGTACCAACCCAAAAGACAGCATTATAGGAAACAGTTATAAAGAACGTATTTTCTTTTCTTTTTGCGGAATGGGGGATTGAACTCAGCCTTTGCGCTTGCCAGGAAAGTGCGTATTCCACTGAGCCATCCCCCAGGCCCACGAATGTGTTTTCTTGTGTAGATCCGGGGATCAAACCCCCGGCCCCTGCGCCCTTACAGGCACTTTAATCCACTGAGCTATTTGGCCAGCCCCCATTCTTGCTTTTAAATCAGCCCCCCCCTTTTTTTTTTCTTGGCAGACCTGGGGATTGAACTCAGGCCCTTGCGCTTGCCAGGGAAGCACTTATTCCACTGAGCCATCTCCCCGGCCCCTAACCCCTTCATTTTTAAATAGCTCCCAGCTGCCTGGTTGAAACCCCAGCCCCAGTCCCAAAGTATGCTGGGAGGGGGCCTGGCTCCTTGCCTCTCAGGGGGCTCTCCCTCCCTGAGCCCAACCTGCCTCTTCATCTGCACCTGGGGTGAGGAGAGTAACCACAGCCGTCCTGGGCCTGCGAGGATCTGCAGATCTGTGACCTAGAAGTCTGGGAGGTAGGATGGGGGCCCAGGAAGTGGCCGCGAGGCAGAAAGAAGAGCCCCAAATCGAGAGGTGGCAGGGGCGCCAGGGCCTCCATTCCAACACCTCAGCCCCGACCAAGGTGCAGAGTGGGGCGCAGGGCCAGAGCGAGGAGCCCGACCAGAGGACGGCCGTCAGGAAGGCCAGCAGCGCAGGAGCACCCTTGCTGCCCCAGCAGGATGGAGTGGAGGTC